ACAATATTATCTCTAACCAAAGTAATACTATATAATCTTTCAATAAATCGATCAATTGGTTGAATACCTCTATGTTGCTCTTCAATAGATCTGTTCATTCGTTCAGTAAGATTATTTGTAGTCATAGGTTTGATACCTGGTATATCATTAGAAGATAGAAACTGCCCACTATCAATAAAACAATCAATCTACTCATCAGATAACCAATTTGAAAAAATATCATTACACAAATATTCCTTTGCGGCTACCATAAGTGGCAAAGATTCAATAAATGCTTGATAAGCTTTAACAAGTTCTAAAGCTTCTTCTTTAGTTTTACTATGACCCACAGCTTTAAAAGCTATAGCAATTGGATATCAAAACCATTTATCAATTCTCAAATTTTTAAGATATTCACCAAGTGTTTGCATTATATGAAACCAGCATAAAATTAAGCCACGTAAAATAGGTTGGAGTCCTTGTTTTGCTGGTCAGTGCTTATCAATCATTGCATATGGCCTCTATACTTGTACACAATTTCGAATTCTCATAAAACCCTTGCCATTTAATATATCTATATAATTATATTGGTGTAAACAATTACTATCATTACAAGGGATATTTCGCTGGAATGCCTCTACTGCAAGTCAAATCGTGTGACTGTTCTCTTTATTTGATACACCAAATGCAATTGGTATTCCATAACCTGCACAATCTTCAACAACAAGAGATAAAATTGGTGCTCCGTCACTATTTAGATCATATTTGCTATCAATACCGAAGCAGAAAGAACCATGATCACGTGTTTGTTGAAGCTACAAATCATCACTTAATGTAAGCTGATAATAACGTTCTGAACAGTCTTCAGGCATATTAATATCTGGTTGTTGATAATATAGTATAGAACCTTTTTCTTTTAAGATTCCGTTTACTAATTCATGTACAATTGTCCATGAACCAACTTTTTTTCGTGTACGTAAGGTATCTCTTTCTATAAGTCATTTAAGTTTCTCATTATTACATATAGAATTCTGATTTCTATACAATTGTTCAAGTTCATATTGTGATACACCATTGTATGATGCAAGAAGCTTCATTTTGATTTCTTTTGTTGTACGTTTGTTAGCTTGATGGCTTATAATTGCCAGATCACATACTTCATGACTTAGGTTAATTTGGGATGGTGTAGTAATTTGTTGAATAATGCTTTGTAGAACATGATTACCTCTAATAATCATACGCATTGGAAGGTTTGTATTAACTTCAGAAAGTATAACTTTAGTAATAATTTGAACACTACATTTATGCATATCAAGTAGATTCTTAAGGTTATATTCATTAAGATAATGATTACATTCTTCAGTGCATTCTCTAATTCCACCACAGCTTCTCTGAAAGCAGTTCTCACCAGAGCAAAACCAAACTCATCACTATACTTGAAGATCTTTTCTTTTCTAGCAAGTATGTCTTGAATTCGATTATTTCCTTTTCCAGTTAACTGTAAAATGTTATCAAGTCGATTTGTTGATTTAAACTGATCCTTTTTTGTTTTCCAGACAAGATAATCCGCAGACCCTCTACATGCTCAACTGTTATAAGTCCCTGCTTTACTGCTTCATTTACTTGTTTTCGACTTTGAACTTTGTAACGGGTACCATATGAAATAGGAAGTGAATAAAGATACTTTTCAACTGCTCGACCAAATGGCAGCTGAATAGTGTTATCATCCTCAATACGGTTAGGTAAGAATTCATGTTCTATACTTAATATAATTTACTTTATATGATAAATTTTATTTAAGTTTGAAAAGAAACGAATTTTTAAATAACGATAGTATTTTATTAGCAAGAAAATTCTAACAATGCAAATAATTAAAATTTCCTTATAAAGGTTCAATTAATTTAATGATTTAATGATGTAATATACATATGCATAATTAAAAAATATTTAAGTGACAATATGATCTATTATGATATCATGGTCTTATGATATCATGGTCATATTATATAGGTCAATACGATGATTATTTTTTAAGGCCGGTCAATAACAATGAATTATTCTGGTCAATAATAGTACTTTTGCGGTGAGACCATGTCTCTAACTTTATTTAAATTTAATTTAATTCTTCTACAATAAAAAGAAAATTCTTATATAAAGTTTATTTTTATAGTCTATCTATTCTATAAAATATTAAAATTTTATAAAATCTTTTTTAGTAATTTTAACAAATCTAGTTTTATATAATAAATTTAAAGTTTTTATTACTAATAATTTTATTTGTTTTAAATAATTTAACTATTATCTTAATAAGACAAATTTAACAAATCTAAAATTATAAAAATCAAATTACAGAATTCTAAAATAATCTAAATTTTATATAATTTTAAATTAATTTCTTGATAGTATTTTTAAAACTTTACTAAAGCATACTATAATATTCAATACCACATATTAAAATAAAAATTTAAAAAATTAAGATTTAGCTAATATTAGAGTTAAAGTTATTAGCTAGAATTGAGAATATAAATTATTATAACCAAAATTTTGCAAAATTTTTTTTTTATTAAGACACAAAGTGTAGTTTTATAAGCAAAATTTTGAGTTATTAAAGATTTTTTAAAAAATTAAAAAATTATTTTGATTTTTTATATTATACCTGATTTTGATATTACATTGCAGTTTAATAATTTTATTAGTTAAAATTATTATATTATTTAATACTACTAGTGCATTTTAGTAAACTTATTTTAAAATTATTATATAAATATTTTTAATATTAAATAACTTTAATTTACTAATTTGTTTTAAATAATTTAACTATTATAATATTTATCTCAATAAAATAATTTTAAATTATCAAAATTTAATTACAAGATTTTAAGATTATTAAAGATTTATATTATATTAACAAAGATGAATCTAATTGTAACAACCTATTATATACTTATTTAAAACAACTTACTTAGTATAATCAATAAAAAATAACCAAAAATTTATGTAATCTAAATTTTAACTTTAATTACTTTCACAAATTATAATGAAATCAGATTAAAATAAAATGAGAGGTTTCTATTTGAACCTCTAAAACCTATTTATACTTGTTTATTATAAAACCTGCCTCTAAACTCTAATCCTAACCCTAAAAAAATACTAATAAAATATATCCAAAAATTTGTATTTTTCGGTAGCTTGTCTATTTTACACTATCGCTCATTTCATTTTAATCTGATTTCATTTTAATCTGCCACAATCATTATATCTTTTTTTTAATTAATTAAATAAAATAATTGCAAATTTATTATAATTTAACTACGCAAGCCCAATTACATAATTACTATGCGCAAATTTTCTTATTTAACATTTCTGTGCCTTCGAACACATGTACGTGAATTATGACCTTTTTTATTACATTTTCCACAGGTAACCTGGTTTTTCGGTTATAAACACATAAATGCACAGGTGAATCGGTCTTCAACATCAACTTCGAACGTTGTAATGCTTCCAGGGTTTTCCATAAGCAAATTGTGAAGTAATAACTTAATACGTTGATAGCTCTGATTTATTTCTCCACACCACATTTTTTAGTAATGGCTTTACTTCTCCAAGCAACCATATATGGGGTGTCTTCAATTAAAAAGGCACATTTTTACAATTTTTCAAAAATAAGTTTTTGTTAGATTCATATAAAATTTGACATGATTGACATTTTTCAATTATAAATGAAAGTCGATTTTC